TGCTACTAGGGCAAAAGTTACTCTTAGAAGTAGAAAACAAAGGGAACTAATGCTGAATTAAAAACTCGCCCTCTTAGTAGCACATCCAAATTTTTCTACGGGAATTTTCACCGGTGGAACAAAGAAATAAAGAGAACCAACAACAGAGCATCTTAAGTGACACGTTCCCGGACACCGTTTTCGAGCAGAGCGTTAATATTACTTATACCGTAGGTGTGGCGAACATCATTCCTCTTAGATCTCACTGACGTAATTTTGCATTAAACCACCCTTAATGAGTGGACGTTTTTACAGTCGAGATGTTCAGGTCAAATCGACACTCGTCACTAATGTTCAAGACCTCATTTCGGGGATTTGTGAGCCGAAGACGATAGTTCCAAAAATGTCAAATCTGTTGTTCCACAAGAAACAAGGCTTCGAATGGAAACCGCAAATACCGAATTTCAAAAAGCAAATATCAGTTCTTTCGTCTGAACCATCAGCGTAGACAGACTGATGACGCTCGACCACCAATTACGGTCTGGAGCCGAATTTCGTAAATTGAATGTCCAATTACTGGACAAGAGCTTCAGACAGGAGCTGGTAAGCCACCATATTAATCACACCCTATTGCGTTAGACTTCCTTCCTAACATGCCTTGGTGGGCAGAATGTTGACGAATTCGTCAAGCGAATTTTCTTCGCAGTCTTCGACGATGAGATCAGCCTTTGTGTCAATTTCAAAGGCAGAAAGACGAAAGAGAGCCTCTGCGGTTCTAAACTGTATGAGGTTATATTTGGTAGGTCTGCCGTTACTTACAACTATACAACATGCAGAAGTCTTCGGAGCGTGGAATACCGATTACACCGTAAAGCTGTCTGACCTTGAGTCAGCACTTACCAAGCGGCTGAAAAAGTCGCTCGACAGTTGTGTCCAGCGGAGGAATAAATCACAACTGACGCCCAATGACAGTGGTAAATTAATTGTAGTTTTCCAGTAATGGATTTTAATTTCTAGACAATATACCCTGATCATCTACTGATTCCTCGCCTGCGTTACCTATGTGAACACAGAAGGGGTTCAGCAAACTATTGTACATATTAATTTAAATTTTTTTAATAAACAAATTACAATACAACCGTCTCCAGTGTACCAATTGGTAATAGGGGGTAATAAACGTACAACAAGGAATGGATGGGGGTAGAAAAGGGCATTGGGATAAGCAAACGATTCCACGCGTAGCATATTACCCCCCCCTTTTCGCCGATAGCGTAGTATCTCGACTAATCGACATCTAATAGATATCTATGGTTGCGTCAAAATAGATATCTAATCGATATATATATATATATATATATATATATATATATATATATATATGAGCGAGCCCA